TAATAAAAACTTAGGATATCGCCAATGACATCATCACATGATGAGTGCCAGATGACGTGTATGGTGATCAAATACAACATTACATCACCTTTTTTATTACACATAATATATATGATCATGATCAGTCAAAATCATTAAATTTTTTAGTCAATCTGCATATGCTTTCTTCTTAATTTACTCAACTGTCAATGGCGGCAATGCGCACGAGCTTCTTTCTCATCGTGTCAGCAGTGAGCATCAAGTAATATATTATCTCTTTGCCTACTTATATATACATCGATCTGTCCTAAACTTTCATATATCACCAAAGTGTTTGAGAGAAAATTTGTTAGCTTAGAGATTATTTTCAATGGGAGAAGCAGTCGAAGAAGTGATAGTACACATATGTGATTATGATGAAGAAATATCTGCAGGAAACAAGAATGTCATATCCCTTCCACATCAAAACCAAATTATGCCTACTCATCTAACAAACTCATTGAGGTTAAGTAGCAATACAGGTACCAATCCACATAGTGATTGGCTCCCAATCACCGCGTCAAGAAATGGGAATGCGTTTTATTCATCATTTCATGCTATTAGTTCTGGAATTGGATTTCAAGCACTCATGCTCCCGGTTGCATTTGCCACACTTGGTTGGTAAGTTATAGTTCATGAACTTGAAGAAATCTTGTTAATTATATTTGAGTTTAATATGACTAACTAAATGGTTTCTGTAACAGGATATGGGGAATCATATGTCTGTCATTATTGTTTTGTTGGCAATTTTACACAATATGGTTAATGATTCAACTGCATGAATCTGTGCCTGGGACTCGCTATGACAGATATATCAAGCTTTCCAAGGCTGCTTTTGGTTAGTATACCTTTATGAACTTGTTAATTTAATCTCATCTGGTTAGTAAAATCATAAGATTGAATGTACTATTCTTTCACAAATCGGTCAACAAGGGAAAGAACTAGACAAGATTTAGATGGCAAATTCAGATCGATAAAATTCAAAAGTAAAGAAGAAGTTACAGGCGTAAAGTAATGTAACGTAAAAACTAAGAACTAGTTTATAATTAAGTGCCAGACGACACTCAAACCTGTCGGACCAAACCTCCAATAATCGAAAACTTTCTTCATCAACTCAGTAATGTATATCAGCAATCACTCCATGACCACACTTTCAATTTCCACCACTGAAAGTAGCTTTGCTGGAGGTAGCTAGGAAACATCATTTTCTCTATCAACGTCACAATATTATCTTTATTTTCCTTTTTCTATTTCATTAACAACTTTATACTCGTCATATATAGAAGTTTTTTTGTGAAAACTGTTGTTCTTTCCATGACCACATACAGTGTACAGTGTGAACCTACTATTTTCTTACCAACGATTGTAGGTTGTAAAGTAACAGTATAGTGACACAATCTTCATTCGCATTTGCTTACTTCATGATTCCTTAAACTTGACTTAAAATAAGACACAGACATGCATGCAAGTCTGCATTTCAATATTCTTGGTATCATGGTGCCTTTTAGTAATAGACTTTACCTAACAAAAGGAAGAATCATTCAAAGATTTATATTTTTAAATTTCAACCATTTAGCATTAATCTTTTATTTTATACAAAAAATTACAATAATTATGTTGTTGGCAAAATAAAAATTAATAATATATATACATACACATGGTGATAGAATTAAGTGGAGTCAGGCCAAGATTAGCATCAAATTAACCTTAAAAAAAGTTCATATGCAATTCTAAAGAATATGATAACCCCCAACTAGAATTAGTAGCACTTAACTTGAAAGAATATGATCCTCATACAGTTTAGTAGATAATACAAATAATTAGTAATATGCATTAATTTGATAAAATCTTAATTATGCTCTTCCAGGTGAAAAGTTAGGGAAGTTGCTTGGCATATTTCCAGTTATGTATTTATCAGGTGGTTCATGTGTGATTCTTATCATGGTAGCAGGTGATACCATGAAGCTATTCATAAAAATCGTGTGCGGGCCCACAAGTAAATCAGAACCATTAACAACTGTGGAGTGTTACTTGTTGTTCATCATCTTGGCCATTCTTATATCTCAATTTCTTCCAAACTTAAATTCCATAGCTTGGATTTCATTGGTAGGTTCTATCACAGCAGTATTATTCTGTACACTTTTATGGTCCATCTCCATTAGCAAGAGTAGGCCAACAGATATATCGTACATTCCAATTAAGCATAGAACAGATATTGGCACCTCTTTTAGTGCTCTTAATGCTATTGGAATCATCGCTTTCACTTTCAGAGGGCATAATCTTATACTTGAAATACAGGTAATTATAATGATCATTCTTTGCTGATTTAATTTTTTGGTATAGGAACAAAGTTCAAATTCAGTCGAAAAAATACATTTTGATGTGGACTAATTGAAATATACTTGTTGCAGGCCACAATGCCAACAAGTGAAAAGATTACATCATGCAAGCCAATGTGGAGTGGAATCAAGTTTGCATATCTGCTTATTGCATTATGTTTATTTCCGCTCGCAATAGCTGGTTTTTGGGCCTATGGAAATAAGGTGAGTTCAATCAGGTCAAAAATTTTAGTCTATCGATTACATACCCCACAGCAGGAATACGTACTTTCTGGAAAT